TAATAAATAATAATAATAATAATAATAATAATAATAATAATAATAATAATTTTTAATAAATAAATCGAGTAATTTTTTTTCTTTTCCATTTGTAAAAAAAAACGTTTAAAATTAAATACAAAAAAAATTTTTGTTCGTTAAAAAATAAATTAAAGAGTTATTATTATTATTATTATTAGTAATTTATTAAGTGGTAATTTTAACAGTGGTAAAATAAAAAGCGGTTTAAAAAAAAAAACGATTTACATATATATAATAAAAAAATTTTTTTTTTTTATATTCCCGATGATTAGTTTTGTAATCAGTTAATATTTTATTTATTTTTAATTTTATTTTTTTTTTATCGATAAGATAAATATTATTAAAGTTTTGTAATTTTTTTTTTTTTTTTTAAACGAATCGATCGTTAAAAATATCGTATTACCAACTGTCAAATAGTAATAATAGTAATAATAATAATAATAATTACGCAAATACAATTACATAAACGTTGGTAACTCTTATAACAATTATTATTATTATTATTATTATTGTTGTAAGCGAGTCGATTTGTTTTAAGGGTTGTTGGGTGAAATGAAAAAAAAAAACTAATCTTTTATTATTATTATTATTTTGTGGGATTTGCCCCTCCTCCCCCCGCCCCGACATGTCAATCAAATAATATTATTTTCAATAGTGAATCGCAACAACGTTTGTTTGTTTGTTTGTTTGTTTGTTTGTTTTGTCTGTCTGTTTGTTTACTTTTAATCCTTTGAAAATTAAACTTCGAGAACATTTTTGCAATTTTTTTTTTTTTTTTTAATAACAAATAAAATTGTTTAAACTTTCCTTTCACCACAAGAGCACAACTGAAATTTTTTTTTTTTTACTTTCACTTAAATCATTAAAAAAATTGTAATTAAATGAGTTGCTGAAATTTGGGTTTAACGCTTTGTTTTAATTATTAAAAAAAAAGAGAGAGAGAGAGAAGGATAAAGAGAGAGAGAGAGAGAGAGAGAGAGAGAGAGAGAGAGGAAGAAAGAGAGAGAAATTTTTTGCTTCCAAAATAAAATTCGCGCGGGGTATATATACACATCCAGGAACATTTTCGGGGAAATATTTTCGGGCAAAAGTTTTTTTTTTTTTCAACCTAAATCTGTTAAGGACACGTACCTCCGATTTTAAAATTATATGAATTTTTCTATTAAAATCAGGGGTAAAATTTTTTACGTTTTTCTTTTTAATATCCCTCAAAAAAAAAAAAAAAAAAAAAAATTATTTATAAAAATATTTTTATTATTTTTTTTATTGCTTCGATTCGGAACAATTTTTTTTTTTTTTTAGTAACGACTCATTATTATTTTTTTTTTATAATCCGGGGGGTAAAAAAAAAAAAGAATTTAGAGTAAAAAAAAAAAAAAAAAAAAAAGTTTGCATAATTTACGTGAATAAGAACACAAAGGAAAAATAAATCCAGGCGAAATTTTTATTTCGTACCTTAGAATTTAGCCTGAATTTAAAAAAAAAAAACGCATTTTGACATGTTATACGCATACACGCACACGCACACGCACACACACGCGAGATAGTAAATATATAAAAAATTAATATTCAACCTGTTGCCATTTCAATCAAATTTTTTTACGAACGTGTTTTTCATGTTGGTAATTTTTAAATAGCCAACGGTCACATTAACGAAATCAATTTTCTTTTCTTTTTCTTTTTTTTTTTTTTCTAATAGTTTTATATATATATATTTATTTCCACGCGTTATTATTATTTAAAATATATGTATAATTTTACAGTACAAACGAACGTGTCAATAGTAAATAATTTGTTTATTTGTTTAACAAAACACGCACGTTAAACTTTGTCCGGGTCAAAAGCGCGCGCGCAAAAAAAAATAAAATTGAGGTCGATTCAAAATTTAAATATTACGGCCCAAATTTTTTTTTAATTATTTGTTTTATATATATAAGCAAATATAATTTTTTTAAATTTGGAAGTGTCGTTGCGTCCACGACATTTTTTTTTTCTAACGTTGGCACATCTTTTTCCCTTTGGTTGCATCGCGACAATTAAATACGAATACGTTAATAACATATATTTAATGTATAAAAAAAATTTAATTGATTTAAATTTGATCGAACTTTAATTATTATTATTATTATTATTATTATTATTATCGGGTATAATAAATTAAAATTAAACAAATTTTTTTAAAAAATATAATTAAAAGTTAAACTCTCCCTAAGAACTGTATAACCTTCCTTACCTACCTCAATTACTATATATAAAAAAAAAAAATTATATCGTAAAAAAAAAAAAAAAATAATAATAATAATAATAATAATAATAATAATAATTTTATAATATCCATGAGAAAAATTATTTATTTATATATATAAACGTTGCTTTTAGGCGTTATAAACCGCAAGGTTATAACAACAGAAACCTGATTTATATTTATTAATTTTGCAAAAAAAAAAAAAAAAAATTTTAAATCGTAGGTGTAACGTAATCTCATATCTCGTATCATTATCATTATTATTATTATCATTATTATCACACCCCGAATGTTTAATGTTTACAACACTTTAACGTTTAATAACACGTGTATTATTAAAAATTAATTTTCTTTTTCTTTTTTTTCTCATTTAATTTAATTAATTGTAAAGTTTTTATGTTTTCTTCTTCCCCTACCTCCCCTCCCCCACGTGTTTTCATTTATAGTGCCACGTTTTTTTTTATTAGTTATCATTGTGCCACGTTAAAATTTACGGTAATCGGTTTTAATGTTATTATTATTTTTTTTTTTAATTACCTCGTCATAGAGTGATATAAATAAATTTAAATTCGGAATTAATAATAATAATAATAATAATAATAATAATAATAATAATAATAAATCGTATGTTTATTATCGATAATGTAAGAGGAGATGATATCGATTGTTATATATATATAAATTATTAACACCGACATGTTACGTTTATTCACCCCGAGAGACAATTGATAAAAGAGAAATTTAGCATTATCATTTAAATTAATTAACTATTACGTACCGTAATTATTAATAATAATAATAATAATAATAATAATAATAATCACGTAATTTCGTAATTGATTACGATTGTTTTAATATATAAAAAAATAAAGTAATAACTATAAGACACGTACGGGCGTTACCAAGGAGGTAGCATCTGTCGTAATTGTAAAAAAAAATTTTTTTTTTTATAGGAATGAATTCGTGTCTGCAAATGATATAATATTATTTCAAGTTCCTTTCACCTATTGTTACACCGAAACAATTTACTTAATAATAATAATAATGACGACGAACGAATTAATAATAATGATAACGCATGGTAAAAGGCAATTCGTACAAAACCGATATTTAATTATTGAACCGTAACACCGTACAGTCTAAAAAAAAAAATTTATTATTATTATTATTATTTTTTTTTTAAATGCGATACAATTACAAATATTTTCCCGCGCAAATTTTTCTTTTCTTTATCTGTTTATTTAAATAAATAAAAGCGATTAAAATAAAAAAAAAAAAATATTATTTTAGTTTGATATCATAATCAAATTAATTATTTGTCACAATCTGTTCGAATGTCAAAACGTCATGTCTATTTATTTAGTTATTATTATTATGTAAAAAAATAAAATAAATAAACAAACCGATAGATAATAACATTATCGGGGGGGGGCAAGGGGGAAATTATGTCTGTAGGTTTATTATTAATTATTTGAATCATTGAACAAAAGGTAAGAATTGTTAATTTGAATGATAATATCA